GGCCGTTCCTGCCCCGCCCGCTGCAGGTGCGGGCTGTACATAACCTTTGCACCCCTCTTAAAGGGGAAAGAGGGTGCTAAGCTTGGGCGGGGTGGGCCGGGGACATCCTGTCCCACTGGACCCGCAAGAGATGTGGTCCGCTCCCTCCCCAGAGGACCTCTGGCTACCTGAGCCAAAGCCACTCCAGCACCCCTGTTGAATGACTGGCTGAGAGCTTTGACTTCCTGGGGCCACCGGCTGCTGTGTGCCCTTGGACAAGCCCCTGGAACGCTGGGACCACTGCCTCTAATGACCTGATGGGCCAGCTGTCCTGGGCCTGCCCATCTTGCAGAGTGGACAAGACATCCCTGCCTGCTCCTCCAGCCCCCAAGCTCCTCCTCACTTAAGGGAGGTGCACCACCCTCCAGCCACCAGGACCCTCTCAGCAGTTCCCCTTCTCAATCTTCCGGCCTCAGTGAGAACAATTTTCTCCATCTGTGAAACCCTTCTCATTCCCACTAACGGCGTCTGTCTCCGCTCTTCCTCCTTGTAGAGCAATGATGTGGGTGCAGCTCTGACCCTGACTCAGGAGTTATCTTTGACCCTCTACTCAACACTGAGTTGGGCATACAGTAGGTGCTCCATAACTGCTAGTTCGTACAACACGTGAGAGCCTTTGGGAAACAGTAACTCTCCCCTTACCCCGCAACCATGCACCCCAGGCATCAGGAGCCCAGGGGTGAGGGAGAGGGGACCCACTGCACTTTGTTTTATTAGAGTTTGTTTAGTGTGAGATTCCTTGAGCACCTACTGTGTGTGGTGGACAGACTGGGTGGGCACTTCTCAAAGGCAAGGCCGTGGCCCCAGTGCCCAGCACAGGGCCTGGCATGGAGCAGGCACTCACTGGACATCTGCTGCCTGTCCACTTCCTCACAGGAGAGTCAGGCAGGCCCCATGGAGGTGGGAGGAACCGAGACAGGAACCCACCAGCTGCTGCTGCTAGAGCCAGAGCCTCCCAGCTGAGCCCACTGAGCTGGGCCCCTGCTGGAAGGAGATGCTAGGCAAGGTTCCGTCCCCCACCTCCCTTTCCCAACAGGAAGGCTGCTGGCTGGTGACTGGGGGTGGTGTGGCAAGGGTACCCCATGTGCCATCCCTGCTGCCTCCCCGGTTCCAGCCCAGCCTCCGGCCCAGACCACACTGGACCTGGGCTTGTCTGGTTCCCTGCTGGTCTGAAGGTCCCTGAGGGCGAGGCCTGGATTTTGCCCTTGTTCCTCCCAGGCTTACCCAGGCCTGAGCCCCAGTTCTGGCCTGGGGTAGGGTCAGTCCGTGTGGGCTGTAGCAGCAGCTGCAGTAGAAACTCCTGGAGCCACATTATCAGCTTCCTGAGCGCTTGTCCCGCAAGCCCTGTCCTGGGCTCCAGACTCCCCTCCATCCAGATCCAGGGGTCCTGGGCAGGAGAGGTACCCAGCTTTTCTGGGTCCAATTCTGTGCCTCTTGGCTGAATGGTAGGTAGGCTTTAGGGCCCTCCCTTGCCACACTTGGATGTTGAATCATAGAAGGCTGGAATCCCCAAAAGTTGAATCATAGACTATTTCTTCAAAGGATGTTGTCATCAGAGACTTAGGGACTCAGAAATTTCGATCAGAGAATGTTGGGATCATGGCTTTTTTGAGCTGCAGACACGGAAGGAGGACCTCAGGTCAATAGCCGTACCCTCCTGGGGCCCTTCCCAATAAAGGGATCTGTTGACTCGTATGGTTCTCCACTGAGCTGGGTCTTCATCTGGCTCCTGCAACTCCCGAGTGCCCAGTAATGTGCCAGTCCCAGGGGCTCAATAACCACTTGACTTGAAGGACAAGTGAACACCACAGCAGTGGACACTTACCTGCTACCCAAGACAGCAAGAACAAAGCCCAAGGGTGTGTATGGGGCTGCATGCTGGGCTCAGGCTCTTACTAGCTGGGTGACTTTGAGCGGGGCAGTTTACCTCTCTGCATCTCAGTATCCTCCTTGGTAAAATGGAAATAATAACAGTACCTATCTCATAGGTTGTTAGGAGTAAGCAAATTCATGCATGTAAAATGCCTTCAAAAGTGCTGGCACTGTTTTCTGTTATTGAGTCAAGTCAGGACTGGAGAAGCCCTTTACCCCCACTTCTGCCTCAGTTCCCCCTACATGTGGCCAGCTGCCTTTGGATGGGACAATGGCCTCCAGTGAGGTTGGTATCATGTGCCCATTTTACAGGTGGGTCGCTTGAGGCTCCTGGCGCAAGGTCTTTAGCTGAATTAGAAAGCAGATCCCACAGCCTGCAAAGCCCATACTTGCTCTCCTGCTGTGCCAGGTACTGCCTGGAAACTCCAGAAACGCAGGCTCTGGCCTCCGCCTTGCCCCCTGTGGCTGCTTTGAGGAGCCCCAGCCTCCGCAGATTTGTCTGTGAAAGCCTATGACAGCCAGGTGGTATGTGCTGGTGAGACTTGAGAGGATGTGGGCAGGAAGGCCAGTGGCAGGGAAGCAGTGGTAGCAGGGGTCGGACAGGGGCTGCAAGAGCAAAACATCCTATTTCAGACGCAGACAAACGGCTGTTTGTGGCCTCGAGTGGCTAGGTGCGTGCTATGATTTCTGGGGCTCTAAAACTCCCTGGCCCTTCCCAAGCCAAAAGAACTTTTCAGGAAATTGTGGAGTGGGGCTGTGGCCAGGGACTCCATCACTGCCCTGACTGCCCCCAGGGAGTGCTCTCAGAGGGCAGGTGGCCCTGTCACGGCAACACCTCCACGCTGCTGGTCCAGACTCAGCCCCTCATGTGGCCTCTGAGCCACTTCCCACGTTCACGCGGTTGTTAAGAGGATTAAGGGGGAGACTGGAGGGACCAGGTCCAGCACGGTGTCAGGCCTAGGGCGGGCTCCTCCCATCTCCCTCCCCGGGCCAGAGACTGGGTGGAGGGGGTCTGGGGCGGCCCAGGCCAGCAGCGGCCTTGCCTTTCTCTTGGCTGCTGTGAACAGAGCACAGTGTGCTGCGGTTGCTAAAAACCAAAATTAACGGCGGCCTCCAGCCAGACAAATAGAAATGGAAGTGTGGCCTCGAGGTCTGGGCAGTCCCACTGCTCTTGGCACGGTGGTGGGGGCCACCCTTCAAAAGACAGGGCACACGCCTCCCCAGGGCACCTCATCTCAGCCTGAGGACAGCAGAGGCTCTGGGACTCCCTTGCAGTGGTCTGGACCTCTGTCTACACAACACACAGCACTGGGGAACGACTCCAGGGAGCAGGGGCCCCGCCCGCCTCTCAGGCAGGCACAGGGCTTTCGTTGGCACCCCATGTCCTGCAGGGTGTCACGCTGAGCTCCTGACTCACGAGTCCCCACCAGTCAGCGAACGCTGAGGACAGGACCTTGCCCAGCCCGGGAGCTGCTCAAGAAGCACTGGCACGACCAGCAGGGGACAGGTGGGCTAGCAATGAGGGGGAGGGGCGCCCCAAGGACCAAAGGGCTCCCTGTCCTCAGAACAGCCTGGGCCCTCCTGTCCAAGAACACCTCAGGCCTCAGGCTCACCGGTTCCTCTTGCTTTTTCAAACAAGAATCCTCAAAGCCAGAAAGGGAAGCACCTTGCTCAAAGTCACAAGCAAGCCAGCAGGCCAGGTTCCCTATGTGCCCCCCACACCAACCCACACCCCTTTCAATGGCCGTAACGGGACCCCGCTTGGGCTGGGACTGGCACCCTCGGTGGATGTCACAGGCATTGTGGTTTCATTTCATTCCCAAGACTCTTCCGACTAGAGACTATCTTTTGGAGGCATCACAAGTGTGGAGGCCAGAACCTTGAAGGGAGCAGGGAAGGGGACAAGAACAAGGCCATGTGGCTGGGAGGACAGCGTGTCTGGAAGCCAGGTGGGCCAGACGGTCTAAAGAGCCAGGCCCAGGGTGGGAGTCACACTCTAGGTGTCCAATGGGAGGCTCCAGAGACGCTGTCAACAGGGCTGACACAGAGCAGCTCTCGGCCTGGCTTCAGCGTGGCCTGGCAGGGAGGGGCCCCTCCCATGCTGATGAATGGGAACGCTCACAGGCTGAAAGCTGGGCCGATCTCCAGCGTGTCTCAACAGCCTCTGTGGAAGGGGCTCAGAGGCCAAGTTCAGGTTGGGAAGTACTGTGAGACAAAGTGAAAGTGGCTTCTTAAACGTGGGACTTTCCAGGGTCTCTGTGGGCACATCTGCCTGGGAGAAGTGGAGGGCAGGCTCCCCAGGCAGCCTGTAAGGTGGCCCTGCAGAGCGCTGGAGGGCGGGCCTTCCATACACAGCCCCTCCCCCTGGGCTAGCCCCCCCATATGACACTGATACTGATGGGCTCTCCCAGCTGGGTGGCCACTGAGCCATGCCCTGAGCCTGGACCCAGCCCCTCAGCTGGAGAACACCCCGATGACTAGGTGGGGGAGCCGCAGCTGGGAGTGAGGACCCAGCGTGAGGTCCCTGGGCCTGTTCTGAAACAAGCACGATCAGTGTCAGCTTCCTGCGCACCTCTGTAGGAAGGGAGAAGCCGGGCATGGGTCTGGGTGGTGCAGCACTGTGGTGGTGTTTGGAGGGCTGAGCGCAGCAGGAGGAAGCTGTGTGCAGCCAGGGGCCTCCCCCTTGGCTCTGCAGCAGCTGGGGCTCCAAGCAGGCACTGGCGGCCACTCACTTCCAGCTGGGACGGCTCTGGGCCGCCACAGCTCAGGGCTCTCTGGTGACTCAGCACTGGCCACAGGCCCCTGAGCTGGGCCTCTTCCGGTGCAGGGCCTGGGGGTGCCTGGGAGGGGGACCACGACCTGACCTCCCAAGACGGAATCAGAGGTCTATAGGGCAGCCCCAGGGACCCCGATCCTGGACCCCTCCTGCCTTCCTCAACCTCAGAAGGGCCATAACAGCGACTGGTCCAGGAAAAAGTACGTTTTATTTCATAAATACTCCTCTCACTCACACGCTGACACCACTTCTGACCATGGACAGATGGATGGACAGATGTGAGCTGCCCACAGGAGCCCCTGGCAGAGGCCAATGAATGAAGGAGACACACTGAGGACTCCAGGAGCCCCACAGCCCCTACTGGGGCCACCCGCCTCTGGCATCACCCTGGGCCCCCATAGCTGCTTGGGGGTCCTGATGGCAAAGGGCGGAGTGGGGTTCCCTCAGCTTGGCCCTCAGAGAATGTGGCCACAAGGCCACTCCAGAAGAAAAGCAGAGTCAAACCACACACCAGAGAGTGCAAACAGCTGGGAGTGCAGGTGCCACCCCCCAGTCACTGGGTTCCTATGGAGGAGGCCTGAGCTGGTCCCCAGCTCCAGCACGGCCCCCGAGTTATGGCTGGGCCTTCCCATAAGGCATAAGAGACAGGCGGGGAAGACCCCACCCCAGGCTGGGGTCAGGGCTGGGCCTGAGGTCCTGGCCCTTCTCTGACAGCCATGCTTCTTCCCACAACCCCAAGTTCTTCCAGGGCCACCAGCCCCTCCCTGCTCCAGGCTCCCATGGGTGATGGAGATCCCAGCAGTGCAAACCCAGGCCCAGCCTCCTGCTGGGTTTGGCTCAGCAGGGGAGGGGCCAAAGCAGGAGAAGGAAGAGTCACTCAAGTGTTGTAGGGTGAGGGGAGAAGCACCAGACCTGGGGGCAAATCGCCACGGGAGCAAAGGGCACCCTAGGCCACCACAGCCTCCTGCCCAGGCTGGACCGTGGCCAGCCCCTCTGCCCTTCCTCTCCCCAGCCCTCTGCTCTAGAGGCTCCCCCAGGATTCGGGTGGGGGGAACTGGTCCACATCCCCCATCTCGTTGTAGGTCTGGTCGCCCATGGCGAAGGTGAGCTTGTAGCGGAGGCGAACCTTCTCCTGGGGCAGAGATGGTGAAGGCAGAGGGATCAGAGCAGAAGAGGCCGCCCCACCCCCATGGTACCCCATCACAGCTGGGCCCCTCACCTTTTGGGGGTTGGCAAGGAGCAGGACCTGGGTGATGGCTGAGGGGTGGACGATGGGGTTAAACGCTGGCAGCTCTGTGCCCGAGGGAGGCTGCAGCTTCACTTTCATGACCTGTGGATGGTAGGGTGAGAGGGAGCACTGCTAGCCCTAGCTGCTCTCCCCAGGTACGAGGAACCAGGCCCAAACCGCCAGCTCCCTCTGGGGGCCCTGGGGTTCTGTCCTTTGGGTCCCTTCTACCCCGACTCCCCAGCAAAGGAGGGAGACCCTGTCCCCGCGGGCTGCCTCCCCACCAAGCCCCAAGTCGCCCAGCCTTGAGGGAAGGGAGGTGCCCAGTTCGTGTCACCTTGGGGACAGCCGACTGGAAAACAATGTTGCGTATGGGCTGGGGTGCGGTGCTCAGCATGGAAACTACCACCACCAGCACATCGGAGCGCCCTGGCAGTGGGTCGCGAGCAAAGTGGAAGAGGACGCGGAAGCCGTGCTGGTCATACACGGTCACGGGTAGGATGCTGCCTGTGGGGAGAAGGTGGGAGGCGATGGGGTGGCCCAGCCCCAGCACATCTGCTCAGCCCCTGACCAGCTCACATCGGGTGCTGGCTGCTCTGCTGGCCATGAGCCAGCAAGCCCCTCACACAGGGCCTCAGCCCTGGGCAGCAGTGCAGTCAGGGGCACAGATGCCCTGAAAGGGCAGGTGAACCTCCAGTCTGTCTGAGGATGGAGACAGGACACCTGCCCTGAAGCTGAGTCACATCCCAGGGTCCCCCAGTCCCATGTGGCTGCTTCCCAGAGTGCTGAAGTGAAGGACTTGGGGGGGGGGGTCGGGCTCTTGCTGTGTGAACCTGCTAGTCACTCTCCCTCTGAGCTCAGGGTCCTCTTACTAAGAGAGGGGCACTGCTACCCAGCTCCTTGGGACACTGAGGGTGCTACATCTTTGATCACAGTGAGCTCACAGAGAATGATGCCGAGAAGACCAGTTAGTCATTGCCTGTCTGCTCAGAGCCTGGGCTGGGCAGTGCCCCCCTGCTGCTCTTGGACATGGGTCATCATCATGGTTTAGTTCTGTACTCTCGGGGACCTCTCTGTGTTCCAGTCCCTGCCTCCCTGGGGAGGGAGAGGGTCCAGGGTCCAACCCCTAAGAGGTCTCTTGCCTGTGTAACTCTGGAGTTTATAAAGCAGTCTTGTGACCACTCTGGGACAGATGAGGAAACTGAGTGCCGGGAAGGGGAGGGCCTTGCGCCGAGCCTTCCCCTCGTCACCAGTGACAGGGCCAGGAGAGCCCTGCTTTCCCACCTGCCTCCCCAGGCAGAGCACCTGACAGGGCAGTGAGCCCCACTCACTGGGCTTGATGGACTCCAAGGGCACAGTGATGCTGGCCAGCGAGAGCTCAGTCGGTGCGGGTTGCTGCAGAGGCCCAGGCAGCTCTGGGGACACAGTGTGGAGGCGGCTGGTGGCACTGGAGCTGGGGGAGCTGCAGCTGCTGCTCTTATTCTGCAGATCCCGAAGGGTGAGCCGGGGGGCTGGTTGCTGCTTCTCCCTTGTTGGGGGACAGTGTGTTAAGAAGTGATTCTTTGGTAGCCAAGAGGTCAGGGCACAGGATAGGCTGGACCTCTCAGCCCTGTCCCTGACACATGGCTGTCTCTCTGGCAGCATCTGCTCGCCTTCAGAACTGGCAGGTCTTGCTCTCCCTCCACTCTCTGCCCACCCACTCTGGCTCAGTGTCCCCTACCACTGGTCCTTGGGCCTCTGGCCTTTCTCTAGGGCACTGGGAATGCCTGGGAAGGGCGCATGGACGGGGACGGGCACAGGCCCCTTTCTCTCATTAACTCTGTGCTCTGTGAGATGGGCACTGAGCTGTGTCCCCACAGCCAAGTGCAGTGCTTGGTACCTGCTGCTCCTAACAAACCAGCGGTGAGCCTCCCTGAGGGCCTGAGCCAGGCGAGCCTAGCAGATGCTGCTGGTCTGTAGGGACCAGGAGGGCTTCCACCTGGGCCAGCCAGGACAGGCCCTCACCATCGCACTTGCTGGGACTCCGGGGGCAGTGACTGCTGCAGGAGGGTCTTCCCCAGGAGGTCCAGGTCATCCAGGCCGCTGCTCATCTGTGTCGGAGGCCGGCTGTCGGTGCTGGGGGTCTGGGCCGGAGTGGGGGTTGGAGGCTCAGCGGCATCTGAAGACTGAGCAGAGGATGCAGGTGGGTGGGGCTGTCTGAAGAGGTATCAGGGTCCCCCAGCCCTCAGCCCCTCCTCTCCCTGCCAGTGACATCTGGAAAAGCAGCCACAGAGGTGAGGACCACAGACCACTCCTGTCCAGATGCAAGATGGCTGGGCCTGGCTGGAGGTTCTGTGTTCCAGGGGCCTCAAAGTCACAAGGGAAAGGAAGAGGGAGCGCCCATCTCAACCCTGAAGCCTGGTCTGAGAATTGGGGGAGACATGGCTGGAGGTGAGGAGGGGACAGCCTGCCTTCCTCTCCCCTGGGGTGGGGTGTGGTGTTTCCTGTCCCAGGGTCCTCTAGCCGAGCTCTCTCCCTTCACTGCGCCCCTCCGGCTGCCTGTCCCATTGCTCTGTCCCTGAGACTGAAACAGGCTGGCTAGTTCCTGGTCCCCTCCTACCTGGAAGCTGTTCCACCCAGCACCATCCGAGCTTGGGCCTGAAGTGGGTGTGGGGTCGCTGAGACCTGAGAGGAAAGCAAGACAGAGGTGAAGGAGCTGGGCTGACCCTGCAGCGACCAGAGAGCTGAGGGCGACATGTGCTGGCTTGGAGCATCCCGGCTCCCCCCACCCGCCTTCTGAGACTCAGTTCAGAGAGGAGAAACCCACTTTCACAGGGAACCAGCAGCAGAGCAGAACCAGAAACAAAAGACCCCAGCAGCTCACTCTGCCGGTCCCACCCACTCCCCCTCTTCCCAGAGAGGCCATTCGGAAGCCCATGTGACCACAGACATCAGGACTTCATCTTCACTTATTCGCCAGCAGCGGAGGGTTGGGGGTGGAGGGGAAGAGGCTCCTTCTCACAGACTGGGCGAGCAGGGAGCGGCACTGTGCCCGATGGTGACTGACTGGGGGGACACCTTCAGAGCAGCTGTGAGCAAGGCACTGTGCTGGCTGAGGTGCAGTGTCCCTGTGTGTACAATGACAGCATGGACTAGGGCTGGCACGTGCCAACAAAGCTGACTGGTGCCAAGGAGGGCTGTAGCGTCCTGTGGATAACCTTGTGAGCCACCCTGCTGATGGGAGGAAGGAGCAGGCCACCAACCAGCCTAACCTCTGCCTGCCCTAGACACCCTAAGTCCACGCCAGATCTGACCTAGAGAAGACAAGTTATCCTGTTTCTAGCAAATCCTGAATAAGTGAGATCGAAACTGACAAAGGCAAGGGTACCAGGAAGCTGTGGGGGTTGGTTTCTTCTTCCAGACACATCTCTTTGAGACCAGACATAACGAAGTGGTAACTGCTAACATTTCTTATGCCCTGATGTGTTGGGCCCTTCAGATGCTGGCCTTGCTTAATTCTCGAGTAGCCTTAAAAAGCAGGAGCGGGGTTCTCAGCCCTCTGGCAAGGACAAGGGAATGGATGCTCAGAGGGGCTAAGTATCCTGCCCAAGTTTATGCAGTTGGTAAGTGGTAGAATCCAGGCTTGGACAGAGCATGGCCTGATTGCCAGAGTCTGAACACAGCCCTGCCGTGTGACCCCAGGGAGTGATCCCACGCCAGGCCAGCCAGAGCAGGCCCTCACCACCGCGCTTGCTGGGACTCTGGGGACAGCGCCTGCTGCAGGAGGGTCTTGGCCTCATCTGCGAAACGGAGAGAACAGCAGCATCTATACCAGAGGAAGTGTCTGAACAGGGCCAGGAACACCCGCTGACTGACAGGAACACTGTCCCCCACCTCTCACCCTTCCTGCCAGAGAGAACAGTTAGGACGAGTCCCTCTGTGGCCACATGGCTTCCTCTGCTCCCCAGGGTGGGGTGGCGTGCTGTCCTGGCACTTGTGTTCCTGTGCCCACATGCTTGGCCTCTGGGCTGAAACCAGACGGAAGCTGGAGGCCAGGGCTCTGCGAGGCAAGTCAGAGACAGGAAGTGCACAGCACACCTCGCTGCTCTCAGGAGGCGGCTCTGCACCAGCCCCTGCTGGGGCCCGGTCTCCTGCCATTACTTCCCCACCCAACCGCCCCGTCGGGTGGCGACACCCGGTGGGACTCCCAGGGGATGAGTATTCATGTCATTAGGTATCCTTTGCCTCTCTGCAGCACGGGGCAAGGCCCCCCCCCCAGTCACCCCTTGGCCCTGGATGAAGAGGGGCAGCTGGATGGGACTTGCAGGTCAGCCTCTCAGGTAGGGTGTCGGCTCATGGGCCCAAGAAGGGCGCTTCAACCGAGCCCACCATCCCTGCAGCCCCTTCCCATCCAAATCCTCATTTTCCTTTTCCTGCTTAGAGACAATGAGTCAGTGCAACAAGAGGCTTTGAGTGTGGCTTCAGAATCAGAGCCTGCTTCAAACCCTTTTTGTACAAGTTGCTCAGCTTTTCTAGGCCACAGTTTCCTTATCTGGAAAATGGGCTATTAAGGGCACCTGTCTGTGGTGGGTGTGAGGAAGTCTAAGACAGGACAGAGTGCAGAAGACTCCTTGGACCCTGAAACAGGCTGGGCCCAAGGAGTCTTCTGCACCCAGTGTCTCCCAGGGCCCTCAGGACACCCATTGCTTCTCCAAGGCCCTCGGGTTGGGTTTTACTTCAGAATTGGCTCAGAACAGCGGGACCTGGCAGGGCCCTCACACCTTCAGCGGCTGTGAGAGGAGGCTGCTGGTAGGCTGTGCTACCTATCAGCCCTTGGATGGGCTGCCACACCCAAGAGAAGTGGGGAGCCTGACAGCAGTTTGGCCAGTTGGGATGGCTCTACTTCTTCCCAGGGCTGAGCCCGGCCCTCTGCTGGGCTCCGGCAGGAGCCTGCCAGGGACCAGCTGGGGCCACTGAGTACCTGGTGCTCTGGCCCCAGCTTCTCTGGAGCTTCTGGGGACTGTGGCACCAGAGCTCTCCCTCTTCCTCTCTGCAGATGAACACTGCTGAACTTCTGCCTGGACAGCTCCCAATTCTGGGCTCCGACCTATTGCAGGGAAATCCCCTGGTTTTCTCTCAGGCTGCCAGAGCCTGAGTGTGGCTAGCTTATCAGAGCTGGGTTAGAGGCTGCCAGCCTCACCCCTTGACTTTGCACAAGCTCTGTCGCTTCTGAGCCTCGGCTTCCTCAGCTGTGAAGTGGGCCTCATGCCTACCCCATGTCCTCCATAGGATTCACATTTGGAGCACACGAGGCTGATGCCGGGGGCATCACACCCCCTTGCTGCTGAGCCCACCCTCCTCCGGGCCTGGCCCCTTCCTCACCCAGAGACATGAGCTCGTCGTCAAGCAGAGAAACTGAGGCGCTGGGCTGCTCGAGGTTGGCCTGCTCGCTGGGGCGGGTGGGCATGGCTGGGTAGGTGGTGCCCGCAGGAGGGAGGTCCAGGCCTGAGAGGTCCAGCAAGGCTGAAGTGCTCCCTGAGGGGAAAGAATAGTCTGGCATGTCCTGGGTGGAGACACTTGGCTCTTAGGGTCCACAGGGTTGAGGGTGGCAACACCTGCTCCCACCCTTCACAACTGGCCTCCTTTCCCCTTCCTCAGGCACACCAGCTCTTGTCTGGAAGTTGCTGCCAGCCCCTCTCTCTGGCATGCAGTGGTACTTCTGTCCAGAATGTGTACCCCTCTTATCTCTAGCTGGCAAACTGCTATCCGTCCTCTAAGGCCCTGCTTAAACTTTGCTGCTCTGGAATGGTGCCACCAGCCCCCCTTCTTAACAGAGCCCATTCTAACCCCTCCTGTGACCCTGCAAGGCTGTTCTTTTACCCTTACTAGAACCCAGCTACAATGCTTGTGTGCCTTACTCTACCTCCCATGTTCCGATGATGAAATCAAGCCCTGGGGGTGTCGCTTAGCTTCACACAACAGATGCCAGATTTGATTTTTGTTTTGTTTTGTTTTGAGTCAAAGAATCTCACTCTTGTCCAGGCTGTAGTGCAGTGGCATAATCATAGCTCACCACAGCCTTGACCTCTTGGGCTCAGGCGATCCTTCAGTCTCAGCCTTCCAAGTAGCTGGGACTACAGTGCACACCGCCATGCCTGGCTAATTTTTTGATTTATTGTAGAGACAAGGTCTCGTCATGTTGCCCAAGCTGGTCTTGAATGCCTGGACTCAAGCGATCTTCTTATCTTGACCTCCCAAAGTGCTGGGATTACAGGCATGAACCAAGATTTGTCAAATGAAAGAAAAGACTTCCTCCTTCCACCTGTCCTCACCAACCCCCGGGCTCCCTCCCCCTACCCCACACGTAGACTTCCTCCCACAGCTATGGGCTTGGCACAGACTTCACCCCCAGCTCCCTCCCTGGGGCTTTCCCCATCTTAAGGGGCCAGGGTCACCTGGGACCGGTACACCACCCTGCACTCTCTGTGCCCCTCTGGCCTGGCAGGTCCTTCCAGCTTGCCTGCTACCTCCTCACCAGGGATGGAACTGGCTGTGGCATCACCATTGACCTCCTCGCCCCGTACCAGCTGCTTGTACAGGTTGATCACCTGGGTGAGGTTGTCGTTGGCCTGCAGGATCTCCGCTGGAACAGGCAGGAGGGGAGGGGTCAGGCTGAAGGACTGTGGGGGCCTCTGGTCAGGAGAGGGGATGGGCACCCTACATGCATCCCAGCCTGTATGGCAGGGGCAGGGCAGAGGCAGGGCCGTCCCTCTCATCTGCTCAGACTCCAGCCCTCTGCTACCTCCCATCCCCCCTTGCTCGCTCTCTGGGCCACACTGGCTGGCTATCTCTGAACACACTGGGCCTACTCCCACCTCCAGGCCTCCCCACCAGCTCACTGTCTGGCTGTCCCAGATCTTGGCATGGCTTCTTCCTTTCCTGTCTTCAGGTCTTCACCCAAGAGTCACCTTGGGGAGGCCTCTCCTATCCCCTAGCCTGTCCCACCTCCATCCCCTCCCTGTTTATTTTCCTCCATGCCACTTACTACCATCTGACAAGCTCAGTGCTCATGGACTTGGTTTATAGTCTGTCTCCTCCCACTCAGCTACAAGCTGCCCGAGGAGGCTTTTGTCAACTTTGATCACTGCCGCACCCCTGAGGGCCTAGCACAGTGCCTGGCATCCACCAGGCCCTCACCAACATTGTGTCCTGGATGCCAGGGCACAGAGCAATCTGGGCAGTGAGTCTCTTGGTTGGGGACCAGGCACCTGGCACGTGGGAGGTGCTTGGGGAGCTCCTGCTAGATGAGGGGAGTGGATGATACCCCGGCTTCTGCAGCCCTGGCTACAAAAGGGCAAAGATCAGGGAAGAGTCTGGATGTGGCCCTGACAGAAGCCACAAGGCTCAGGTGTGGAACTGCTTGGGCTGTGGGCGCCATCTTCGTTTCCAGGTTGCCTTCACCAGGGAGGGGTGTCTGGAGCAGACAGCCCTCAGTCTACCCCAACTGTCACTGTTCTTATCTGTGATCTGGCAAGTCACGTCCCTCCCTGAGCCCCAGCTGTGAACTGGGGGACAGTTCTTCCTCCTGGCTTATGGGCAGTAGCTGAGATGCCTGTGGAAAGGCCTGGCCCACAGGGTCTCTCAAAGGCACGGCACCCATCTCTGAGTTCTCAAATGGAAAAACCCCAAGCCAGTGCTGGAGAAGAGGGCCCCCTGGTGGTGGCTCCTCCCAACTACATACACGCAGCAGGGCCTGGGAGTGGTAGGGGAGTGGGTGGAGGGAGAGCTCCGGACCTGAGCCCAACGGCTGTCCCAGGCTCACCTAAGGCCTCATCATTGTCCTCTGTGTCGCTGGCCAGTCGGAACAGCGTAGGCCGCATCCGCTCACAGCGTTGGTATAGTTCCTGGGGGCAGAAGGGTGGGCGGGTCAGCGTCCTGGGGGCTCTGGAG